TTGAGGAGGTCCTTCCCAAAGCTGATGCACTCACTCAGCTGAGGCTGTTCATTTGCTTTATGAACATGAGAATCATAGAATCATTCAGGTTGGAAGAGACCCTTGGGATCATCGAGTCCAACCATCAACTCCCCTCTACAAAGTTCTCCCCTACACCATATCCCCCAACACCACATCTAAAGGACTCTTCAAGGGATGGTCGCTCAACCATCTCCCTGGGCAGCCTGTTCCAGTCTCTGACCACTCTTGGTGAAGAACTTTTTTCCTCATGTGCAGGCTCAACATACCCTGTTGCAGCTTGAAGCCATTCCCTCTTGTTCTATCACTAATTACCTGTGAGAAGAGACCAGCACCGACAGGGTCCTTTCAAGTAGTTGTACGGAGTGATGAGGTCTCCCCTCAGCCTCCTCTTCCTCAGACTGAATAGTCCCAGCTCCTTCCATTGCTCCTCATAAGATTGATGCTCCAGATTCACATCCTGAGCCTGTGTGATGGCAGGTTTTCCCTGGACTCCCCCCGACTGACCCCTCGCACAAGTAGCTCCGTAGTAATTCTGCTTTCCATCCATCCGGAGTCTGTGGTCCTGGTTTGAACCTTCACCATCCCTGTCGGGTGGTGGTGGCTGAGCAGGGGCTGGGAGAGGGAAGGCTCTGGAGGCTTGGGCTGAAGGTAGAAACCAGCAGCCACAAAACACTGCCCAACACACAAAAGAAACAGCTGGAAATCTCTGCTGCCTCTTTCATTTCTGGTCATTTCAGTGCAGCTCGGGGGAAGGTGACTTAAGGTGTTTCCTCTCTAAATCCAGTTCTGAAGCTCATATAATTTAAAATCTCTGCAGAGGTTGGCTGCGCTACCCTACTGTGGCTCTTTTTATTAGGATAGAAAAGTCTAATCCAGGAGCAATGTCTTCTGGAATTAATCCTGCCCGGGTGTGGGTGTATTGCGTTATATCCAGGAAATGCTGGCACGGTTTGCTGTCATCTCACTTGTTCTTCTGATGCTGATCTCTGCCCAGTGCTCTGTGCCTTGTCCAGAACTGGACATCTGGATGGTATGAATGGATATGAATTCTTACTGATTTTTTTTTTTATTTATTTTTTGTCCCAAGAACAAGTTTTTTATTATGTGAATCTGTTGGCTTGAATTTTTAGGCTCCGGAAAATGGCCTTTCTTGAGCTAAAAGGTTGGTAACTCGGGTGGAAATGCAGAAGGTGGTTGTGGAGTGTGTTTAAATAAATACAGTTTATTTGTTGCTCCTCAGTCCTATTGTTTCTGCGGTGGCAGGTCCGGATCCTCCTCTTTGGAGGAGAGGAAGCGCGGGTGGCTGTGTGCCATCCTCTGTGCTTTGGATTAAGGGTTGTGCCGTTTTCTGTGCTCCAGGTTAAGGGTTGGAGCATCATCAAAACGCCCTGGACCAGCCCTTGGGCTGCTGTTAAACCCTCTGTTCCTGAGCTCTCGCTGCATCACTTGGATCCCAGGAAAGCCGCAGCGTGCTCTGCCCCAGCTGCCACTTTTGCTGCTTTTCTAGCTCCTCTGCTGGGGATATTTTCCCCCAGAGCTGCTGTGTGGCTTTCACCGAGCTGCAGAAAGAAACCCCATCAAGGACCTGTCATGGCTTGAAAGAAACTTTAGGTAGTTGGTCTCCACCGAGCACAAACTCTGTGCATCACCCTCCAGTAGGTCGCAGGCAGTGTCTGTCTGCCTGGATCTTCCTTTCCCCCCCCGAGATGCTTCTCTGGGAGCCCGGCTCCTGTCTCCACATCCCTCTGGACCATCCTTGTCCCCAGCCGGCGTGGGCTGCTGGCTGTGTGCCATCCTCTGTGCTTTGGATTAAGGGTTGTGCCGTTTTCTGTGCTCCAGGTTAAGGGTTGGAGCATCATCAAAACGCCCTGGACCAGCCCTTGGGCTGCTGTTAAACCCTCTGTTCCTGAGCTCTCGCTGCATCACTTGGAGCCCAGGAAAGCTGCAGTGTGCTCTGCCTGGGTGCCACTTTTGCTGCTTTTCTAGCTCCTCTGCTGGGGATATTTTCCCCCAGAGCTGCTGCGTGGCTTTCACTGAGCTGCAGAAAGAAGCCTCATGTCCCACAAGAAGCCCCATCAAGGACCTGTCATGGCTTGAAAGAAACTTTAGGTAGTTGGTCTCCACCGAGCACAAACTCTGTGCAGCACCCTCCAGTAGGTCACGGGCGGCATCTGTCTCCCTGGATCTTCCTTTCCCCCCCCAGATGCTTCTCTGGGAGCCCAGCTCCTGTCTCCACATCCCTCTGGACCATCCTTGTCCCCGGCCGGCGTGGGCTGCCACTGTGCAGAGCCGCTCTGCAGTGCGGCTCAGCCTCAGCAGGGGGAGGCAGGATGCTCCCCCCACCGCGATGGCTGGTGTCCGGCCACCCAGAAATTTGGAATCAAAAAGCCATAACAACTGGCAGCTAGACACGCTGAAAACCCGCCGCCCTCCTTCTCTTCGTGGGTATCGTTTTCACTGAAAGGGTTCTCAGCCCTTGGAATGGGCTGCCCAGGGAGGTGGTTGAGGCACCATCCCTGGAGGTGTTCAAAAGACGGGTTGATGTAGTGCTGGGAGGTCTGGTTTAGTGATGATGCTCCTTGTTTGTTGTGCGGGTGTCTATTTTTGTCAGTGAGGTTGACGGTTGGACAAGATGATCTTTAAGGTCCCTTCCAACCTAGAAGATTCTGTGATTCTGTATTTACATCGTTAAATCTTACCCCAACTGTGAGGTCGGAACATCCTGAGTCCTGCTGACCCCAGCCACACCGACAGCCGGGTCAGGGGAGGCTGCTGGCAGCTGGGGTGAGAAAAGACAGCCCTTGTGCTGCAGGGTGGAGATGTGAAGCAAAGGTGTTGCAGTGAGAAGTCACCGAGTCTGCTCAGAAACAGGATTTTTTGAGTGTGCGTTGCCCAAAAGGTCTGCTCAGGGTTTGGGTGGATCAGAAAGGAGGGTTCCATCCAGCCCCAGCGGAGTGAGACGAGGGCTCGTCATAAAATCAGCTGGATTTCAGCCCAACATTATGGACAAAGAGATAATCAAAGAGATAATGTTTAGGGCTTGGTCTTTTTTTTTTTTTTAATCTGTTTTACAGAAGCTGCTCAGTCTGAGACATTTTAAGCTGGGGTTTCTGCAGCTCTGCTTCTCTGGGTACCCCCTGGGAAAGCAGGCACTGTCCTGTGTGCAGTGTGCTGCCTTTGAGATGTACCGGGCAGGTGAAATAAACTCAAAGTGGTGGAATAAAAACCCCTTCCCACGTGTGTCACCAGCAGGGTGTCCCTGTGTCCCCAGCCCAGCGTTAATCGGGGGAGCAGGAGCTCAGTGCTGGGTGTGCAGCAACCCTTCTGCCAAAGGGAGCAGCATCAAACATCCCTCCCTGAAGCCCATCGGATCCTCATCGGAGCCGCTTCCCTCCCCTGAATGGTGGAGCCCGGGTAGGGTTGCTGCAGCCTGTTTCAGTAATGTCTAGCCTGGTGGTTGGTCCTCAACATCAGAAAAATGATCTCTGAATGGTCTCAAAATCAGAAAACCCATCGTATCACAGGCTGGAGAGCTCACGCCTCTTGTGCTGCCACATGCTCTCTCCATTTCTGCCACATCAACGAGAGTTTTCTGTGCAAAGACAACTTTGAGTGCTGCTGCCTTTAGACAAAACCCCAAATTTCAATTTTTGGGGAGGGAAGGAGAGAAATGGAACCTCATTGTTCTTCTTGCTTAATGTTCTCTTTCTAACTGAAAGGCCAACGTTTAAAAGCTGGGTTTGTAGGGGGTTTTTTTCTCCCTCTCCTACCCCAAAGTCATCTGGTGGTGTTAAAAATGCTTTCTGCCGAGGTGAGGGAATGGGGAAGTGAGGCCAGCAGGAAAGAGGAAGCGAAACTGAGGAGCCCGCTTACGTTTTTGAGGCCAGGAAGGGGCCACAACTCCAGCAGCATCACAAGACCCTCCACCGCAGAGCGGCCACCGCTTGGTTTCTCTTTGGTGACAGCAAGTGCTCAGGGCTGCTCAGGAACCAGCTTTTGGCCTGGTGTAAAGCTGCTGTCAGTGTGTCGGTGTGAGGAGAGGTCAGCTTGTCCAAATAACTTGTCCAACGAGAGGGACATCAAGGCTCCTGGGGTCATCCAACATCTATCTCCCCCAGGATCAGGTGTGACTGTGGCTTTGCTGGCCAAGGGGAGCTGGGGTGATGCACAAATCCAAGAGACACACACACACACACACCAGTGCTGCCTCCTGCTCTGGGGCCACCAACAGCAGAAGGACATGGAGCTGTTGGAGCGGGGCCAGGGGAGGCCATGGAGATGCTGGGAGGGCAGGAGCCCCTCTGCTGGGAGGGGGGGCTGAGAGTTGGGGGGGTTCAGCCTGGAGAAGAGAAGGCTCCGGGGAGACCTTAGAGCCCCTTCCAGTCCCTAAAGGGGCTCCAGGAGAGATGGGGAGGGACTCTGGATCAGGGAGGGAGGTGATAGGACAAGGGGGAAGGGTTTGACACTGAAAGAGGGGAGATGGAGCTGAGATGTGGGGAAGAACTTGTTTGGTGTGAGGGTGGGGAGAACCTGGCCCAGGTTGCCCAGAGAAGCTGTGGCTGCCCCATCCCTGGAGGGGTTCAAGGGCAGGTTGGAGGGGGCTTGGAGCAACGTGGTGTGGTGGGAGGTGTCCCTGCCCAGGGCAGGGGGTTGGAACGAGTTGATCTTTAAGGTCCCTTCCAACTCAAACCATTCTTTACCCTGGGAAGGAGGTCTGGGCTCCATGTGGGGGCTGGTTCCCAGTTAGGGCTGGGGTTTGTAGCTCGGAGGGCAGCAATGCTGCGTGTGTGCAACCTGAAATCCCATGTTCCATCCCCAAAAGACTCGGCTGCCTCAGTCAGAACGTTACACACACGTATCCAGGAATAGTTTCTCAATCCTGCATGGGCAGAAGGTCTTCCCACAGTCACTGGGGACAGTGACAGAGCTGACCCTTCCTCCCACCCACCCGGGTCCCTGGGAAGACAGGACAAGACAGGGAAGGCTTGGAAACCTTGTATTACAAAAATAAAAGAGCGCCTGGCGCAGTGTCACGCGTGAAGCTGCCGTGCCAGGCTCCAGCGCAGAACGTACCAATTAAAGGCAAATATAAAAAAGACAGACACTGTTAAACAGTCGCAGGGCAGCATCCTTAAGGCTGAACAATCCCAGCTGAACTGAGCTGATGTAAACCAAGGACCCTCCTTACTCGGAGCCCCAGCAAGGCAGGATTGGTGTGGCAGGAGCTGGTACAGGGTGGGGAAAGCCCCTGGGTCATCTCCTTTTCCATGGTGACAGGCCTGAAACGAGTGAACGGGGCTGGGGGTCCCGTGGGGCAAGTGCTTCTGATCTGATTTCATGGGGGAGAGGGACCTGTGGCGAGAAAACTCCAGGTCTTGGGGGTCTACCCCAGTCTCCTCTACCCTGGCTCCCCCCTAAGCATCCTCCAAAGAGGGCTGGGCTGCCTCCCTTCCCCTCCCCACAGCCCCCTGGGTCCCCTTTGCTTTACATCAGCTCAGTTAGCCCCCGGCTCAGCGCCGCTCCGTGCCGTCTCTGCTGGGCTCCGGGGAAAAGGGGGGTGGTGGGACTGGCCCCGCTCACGCCGACTTGGTCCCGCTCTCCACCTCCTTGTGCACCCACAGCTCCTTGTGCTGCTTGCGCCCGAAGCCCTCGTCGTAGTTGCCTTTACTCTTGAAGAGCTGCTGGAAGTGGGGCTTGCAGTAGAATTCCCCGTGGAGCGCCGCGTAGCTGCCCAGGCTGGGGAAAGAGGAGGACAGGGTGAGCTGGGGGCTCGGCTGCAGGTCAGGGGGAGTGTTTGAGGCTCAGGGGCACCAGGACAGGGGAGGACAGGGTGAGCTGGGGGCTCAGCTCTGGGTTGGGAGGAGTGTTTGAGGCTCAGGGGCACTGGGACAGGGCAAAAAGGAGGAGAGAACATGCAGAAAGGGCCAACTATTCCCTCCAGCCAGCTCAGCATCTTAGGGACTGCCTTAAAGGTCTGTAAAGAGGGAGGGGGTCCCACAGGGCAGGTCAGCCTTGGCTCAATGTCACCTCGGAGGATGCTCTGGCTCAGCTCCATGTTACTTTGGGGCTGCTCTTGAGGGGAAAAAACCCTTTTCTTCCAAACCAGTCTCTTAGCTGATACTCAGGACCAGGTGGGTGAATAAGCTCTTTTTTTTGGCTGCTATGAGTGGGCTTGGGGGGTTTTTAGGTACCCGAGAAGAGGAGGGGCTGTGATGGGTGGGTGGGTGACACCCGTCCACCTCGCTGTTGGTGGCCTCCTGGCCTGGCTCACCTGAGCTTGGTGTGGCAGTGCTTGCAGCAGAAGCAGGCGTTGTGGAAGACAAATTTATCCGCCACCAGCCGCTCCATGGGGTAGACGGTTTTCTGGCAGGCGGTGCACATCTCCTTCACCTGCGCCTTCAGGCTGAAGGACTGGGCGAGGGGAGAGCAGAGGGAAAGAGGGTGAGGAAGGGGTTTGGGGGATCCTGCACCCACCACAGCCTGTTCTTCCCTACCTACCAGCCATGCTGCTGGAGCACTGGTTGGCGTGAAGCCCCCCCACCTCCCCTCGCCCTCCCCCTACTGCTCCTCTCTGGGTCCTTCCCCCCTCACTGAGCATCAGTAGGATGAGGTGAAGCCACGGGTACCTTGGAGCGCTGCACCGTGCTGCCTCCTGAGTTGTTCTTTGCCTCCTAAGGAAGGAAGGAAGAAGAGAAATGAAAGTGAGAGCTTGGCCTGACAAGGCTGGACACCAGCTGGGCTCAAGGAGGAGCAGCAGAGGATGGGTACAGGCAGCTGAGCTGCAGGACCTTGGGACACACGACAGCCTCTGCCTCTGTCACGGGCACCCAGTGGCCCTCTCTGAACTCGCCCAGAGGCCATGACCTCCCTCGGGTCCTTGTGTTCGAGTTACTTCCTGCCCTGTGGTGCTTCTCCCAGAGAGAGGAGAAGAAAGGAAGGATAATAGAAAAAGAGGAAAAGCCATTTACATATCGCAGAGAGGGAACTAGGCAGCAGGGGGCTGTGAGACGTGCCTGGGGCCATGGGGGCAGAGCAGCCAGCTCCCATCCAGCAGGACAGGACAGGAGTGTGCCATGGCTTTGTTTCCTCCATGGCCCAAGGCATAGCTGACCTCTTTTGAGGTGGTAGCTCCCAGGCAGAGATCAAAGGGATGGCACTCCATGGCTTTGTTTCCTCCATGGCCCAAGGCCTAGCTGACCTATTTTGAGGTGGTAGCCCCCAGGCAGAGATCAAAGGGATGGCACAGTGTAGGCTTTGCAGAGGACAACCCCAGGGTGACAGCCCTCCCTTGCTCCCGGCCACCACTGATGAGCAGCTCTCGCCGTCCGCAGCCATCGATTACTGTCCTTGGTGAACCACTGCCACCACCATGGGTGCCTCAGACCATGGAGGGCTGGCACCAGCCTCTTGGGAATAACAACAGAGAGGGGGAAAGGTCGCAGATGCTGCTCTCCCTCCTTCCAACCAACATCTACCCCACAGGGCTGGAGGGTGATAATTCACCCGTCTCAACCCCAGGGTGACAGCCCTCCCTTGCTCCCGGCCACCACTGATGAGCAGCTCTCGCCGTCCGCAGCCATCGATTACTGTCCTTGGTGAACCACTGCCACCACCATGGGTGCCTCAGACCATGGAGGGCTGGCACCAGCCTCTTGGGAATAACAACAGAGAGGGGGAAAGGTGCCAGATGACGCTCTCCCTCCTTCTAACCAACATCTACCCCACAGGGCTGGAGGGTGATAATTCACCCGTCTCTCTCTGGAGGCACACGGGGCTCTGGCAGCGCTGCCGGTGGGGTCCTTATTCACCCGTCTCTCTCTGGAGGCACACGGGGCTCTGGCAGCACTGCCGGTGGGGGTCTACGCCTGCAGGTGGAGGGTGGTAGCCCACCAGTCCTCCCAGGGCATAACTGGGGTGCTCTGGTGGAGCACGTGATGCTGGTTCCCCCTCAGCGGATGTTTTGTTTCTGAGTTCCTCCTCTCGCCCCGTTACCAGCCCGAGGCGCTGCGCAGGAAACGCCTGCGCCGTGGGGGAGAGCAAAAAGCCCTCTTGAGTCCCCGCGGGCTGTGTCTGTGTGTGTGTGGGGAGAACAGGAGGGCAGCGGGGCACGCTCGGGGCTGAAGACCTCCTCCGTGGTGTCCTGCAGCTTGGTGGGGCTGATAGATCCCAACACTGAGGTGTCTGTATCTCTGCCTCCGGGATCTCGGAGCGGGGTGTCTCCACGCTCTCCCCCATCTGCAGCTGCAACAACTTGTCTCCTCCCAAATCACCCCCTGGTCCTTCCCCTCACTGGCTGTTTGTCCGTGTATCCCCTGGGTGCCCCTGCAAGGATTTTAGCCTGTCTCTGCACTGACAAAAATACTCTCTCCTCCTTTCACACAGCCAGGACCAAGGGGGTAAACACACTTTTAGGAAGATGGACCAGTCAGGGCCGCTTTCCAACAGACTATCTCCCCCTCTGCACTCTTTGTTCCCAAGGCTGGGGCAGTGGGACCCCAGAACATCACCCCAACACCTCCTTGTCCTTCCTCTTGATGCTGGTGGACTCTGCTTAGCCAGCTCTGCCCCTTCCCTCTGCCCCCAGGGCTCATCTTCCCTCCCCGTTCCTCCTGCTTTGTCCTTCTCCACCGTTTCTCCTCCATATTTTTGGAAACGGCTCGTCTAAGAGACGCACAGGAAACTCTCACTTCGCTGAGCTGCCTCTTCAGACGTTTCCCAGCTGCTCTCGTTGCCTGAGGTCAGGGACACGATTTTCCTCTCACTCCCACAAGGCTGGAAGAGGGAGCCAAAGTCAACAGCGGGACACGGGGCAGCGAGGAGACTCGGGCCGTGTAAAACCAGTTGCGTCCCTCGGCGCTGGTAAAACAACCGCAGGTGCTCTCCCGGGGTTAGCATTTAATATATTGTTTCCAGGCTCAGCTGACCAGAGCTAAAGGAAAACGCTGCCTCCTTGGAGCTGGAATACATCCGTTCCCAAGGCTACAGGCAACCCGCCGTTGCTCGTCACTTCTCGGCAGCCTTCTGGCTCCGATCAGGCACACTATCTATTTCATATCAGATATATCCTCCCTCGGGGAAGGGGCCATATCCTGTCCCAGCAGGAGATGTTCTTGAGCCTTTATGTTTTTCCATCTCCAATCACTCCGAGCCTGAGCCGCTCGCATGCTCCCAATTGTGAGCACGGAAAGCCATGGAAACACAAACAAACAAGAAGGCAACCGGAGAGGGGAGCGGGGTGAGCGGCTCTGAACGGACCATGGACGCTGGCGTTGCGATGTGCTCAGCAAACAGCACCTTCTGCTGGAACATTCCTGTCCCCAGCTTTGTTCTTTGAGCAGCCATGACTGTGCCTTTGATCACCAGAAAGTGTCAGGTCCAGAATACAGCTTCTGTACACAACCCTCCCTCCCTGAGAACCAAAACCCGGGTTGAAATTCCCACACCGACGGCGGGGGATGCTACGTACGTGAGTTGGGGGTGGGCTGGCAGGTCCCGTGGCCTGGAACATGGTTCCTTCCCCTCCTCCGTCTATTTAATCCTGAGCTTGAAATTTGTGGGCCGGTGTTCCCTGGGGAGGTGTCTAAGACAGACCTCTTGCAACACCTGGAAAGGAGATGTCAACAGGAGCGTGGTTGGTTTCATCACCCCAAACCAAGCAGCTGCAGGAGCTGGTGCGTGGCAGTGACACGCTCAGAGCTTCCTCCATGGGGTCAGGGCAGCCCCTTTGGGTCTAGAGGTTTCTTGAGGGGTCCAAGAGATTTAGGCACACCAGACTGGACTGGCAGATAGGAAATGTGGGGCTGGAATACTGCTGGGTTTTAAGAAGCTGGTAGGTGATCTGGGGCACTGAGCTCAGCAGCTCTGGTCCTCTGCTCCCATACAAAAATACTCATAGAATGGTTTGGGTTGGAAGGGACCTTAAAGATCATCTTGTTCCAACCCCCTGCCCTGGGTAGGGACACCTCCCACCAGACCAGGTTGCTGAAAACCCCAGTCTAGTGGGATGAGGTGGGACAGGGTGGGAGAGAGTGGCTGGAAACACGAGCAGAAGGTGATGTGATGGCTTCTGCTCCCAACCCACCTGTGGAAGGCAATTGCCAGGCAATGGCCAAGCCCTTAGCAGCAAGGCTGCACCTCCCAGCCAGAGCCACCATCCTGCCCACACAGCAAAACCAGCACCCAGTGTTGCTAGAGCCACTAAAGCACTGGTGTTGCTGGAGCAAGGACTGTGATTTTAGTCTAATTTTAGCCCAGAAAAGGCTTGCTGAATCACAGCTCAGCAGAGCGAGTGATGGGGATTTTTGTCTTCTCCGGGGAGCCCACGTTGCCTTCGGGCTGAGACCCGTGAGCCGTGGCTGCTGTGAGCTGTGCTGAGTGCCCGGGGGGGTGAGTCTGACAGATCTCAGACCAGTTTTAATGCAGCACAGGAAAAAATAATTAAAAAAAAAACCAAAACAAAAAACCACCAGCGCTGCAAATCACCCCTTTTGGTAAAAATCAGCTGAAAAGGCACTGACAGATCCTCTGGGGTTTTTCCCCATTGCGCCTTTACCTTCAAAACACCCATAAAAGGTCAGGCTTGATAAGCCCTGTTTTGCACATGCGAGAGAGATGTGGGGCTGAGCGAGTGATGCTGAGGGAAGAGCTGAGCAGGGGACAGGAGGGCGAAGGGGTGGCTCTGCAGCTCTGCAATGACAGGGATGCACTGGGGGCTGGAAAACCAGCACCCCCACCCCCCGTCTGGGGCTTCTTTTCTCTCCCACTGAAACCTCTCGGCCTCATGTTGTCACCCCAAAAACACTCCTGCTGCCCAAGGATAGACCCTGCGAAAGGGCAAGGAGACACGCCGGGGTGGAGGGCTTGGGGCAGAGGATGTCTCCACCGTGCCAATCTCATATTTGCAAACATGTCCTGGGGTTTTTGGGGGGCTCTTTGGCTGCCTAAAAAGTCCCAACCCCAACGGCTGACAGCAGGCTCGGCAAAGCACCCCAAATTAGTGGCTGCATTCAGAGTTGAGAGCCCTGTGCTCCAGGTCCCGAGCAGTGGGGTGGATAAGGGGGGGCTGGGCTCCCCTTCGCAGCCTTTGGAGGGGGGGCTGGACGCGGTCCCCCGTCGTAAACATTTCACAGCCTCGTCTGAGAATACGGCTCCTCTTTTACCTAAATCATTTCCCGTCTCCTCTGCGGTTGGGTTGTTATTTCCTGCTCGGGGCGGGTGGCAGCACGCAGCCGGCTGCTGGGGGCTGGGGGCCGGGGCAGAACCAGCCCAGGAGCCACCCTGGGGGCAGGGGCAGGTGGCCCAAGCCCACAGCCCCATCTCTGCCCCCCCTTCCCTGGGGCAGGACCTTCCCTCTCACGTCTCTGGGGTCTGTATGGTGCCTCCATCCCAGCGCACACCCCTCTGGTCCTTACCCCACGCACGCCTCTAACGCGGGTGCACAACCCTCCCCCTTTTCACCTGCCTTTCACCTTCTCCCCTGCCTTTGCCACAAACATTTCTCCACCCCCAGCTTCCCTTCCTCTTCTCTCACAGCTCATCTTCCTCCCCTACCCCAGCCACCTCCTTTCCCTCGGTTTCCCCCATTCTCTCCATCATCCCCCTCTTGCGTTTTCCACAAGCACACGATCCCTGGCTCCTTCCACCTACTCTTTGTTCCTTTTCCTTCTCTTGCCCCCAAACCCTGTTCCCTTCATCGCCACCCGACTCATCCTACCCCACGGCTTGATGTTCTCCATCCAGCCCCATCCTCCAGGTCTCCTTCCTCTTAACATCCCCCTGCCCCTCCGTGCACGTACCCCGCCGGCAGCCCCGTGCCCACGCTCTCCCAGCCTTGGGTTCAAACAAGAGGTCCCCTCGGTGTGGTTGCCCTCTGGGCACGTGAGTAGAAGTTGCTAAACGTCCTTCCTGCCGAAGGACAGGAGGCAAGAGCAGAAATCTCAAAGGGGAAGGGTGTGCTGAAGCGATAAGGGAAACAGAACAAGTTAGAAACCGTGGGAGGGTTTCTAAGAGGCCCCCAGCTGCTGTCATCGCTCTTCCAAGGAGGCATTAGGATGGGATTCAAGCCCAAGGCAGTCAACACAAGCCTCCACGAGTGGAGGAACCCCAGTGGAACAGGCTTTGCTTAAGGACATGCTGCCACATTGATGTGATGAAGGCTTCACAATTAGTAGGGCAACCCTCCAGCGCACGGGGGGACTCGCTGATTTTCTGAGGAGCGCAGAGGGCATCTGTGACAAAGCAAGCAAGCCAAGTCCAAGCCTCCACGGTGGAGGCTGGCACCGCAACTGCTAGATCTCATTTCTCCAAACCTCTGTTCCCTAAGGCTCCTAGCCATCTGCACAGTCTGGGGAAAGGACTGTCCTCTCCTAGTCATGTAGCCAGCAATTTCAGGTGTTTGGCTCAGGTCAAGGTGAGAACCCCTTTGCCTTACAGCCTCCATTCTTCCTGCCCCTCCTGGGAGTATCTATTGGCTGGTGTGGACAAAAAAACCCCAAGGGATCTGGGCTTGTGCCATCTGTTCAGAGAGATGGAGCAGCTTCTGGTGGCCGCAGCGTGGCAGGCACAGAGGGAGGTGGCTCTTGGTGTCCTCCAGAGACGTGGCACCAGAGCCAGGAGGATGCATGTGGTGCCCAAGCTGCCAGCTCTGCCTGTCCAGGTCATCACCAGCAGATGCTGGTCCTGCTTTGGGGGCTTTTTAGTGATCGACTGGTGATCGACTCAGGACCTTGGGGTTGGAGCTTGTTTGGCGTCCCCAGGGGACACGTGCCTGCTGCCATGTGAGAGCAGCTGGAGAGAGGGGATCCAGCTCTGCCTTTTAGCACCAAACGGGGAGCAGATTGGGGTGAAGAGGGCAATGTCCATCCCAGAAGCTGCTTCATCACAGAACCTTTGCAGAGCAGCCTCTCCCATCCCCTCTCACCCCCCTGCCTGACCCTGGGGGGCAGACAGAGAGAGAGGGAAGCATCTGGGGTGGCCCCTCAAGCAATTTCCCCACTCCCCCAGATGGTGACCTGCCTCTGAAGCATCACCTTTCCCGCAGCCAGGGTGGGTGCTGGGAGCTTTTCCCCCCTTTCCCCTCAGCGCTGCCAAGCCGGCCTGCTCCCCACGGGCCCCCAGCCCAGCGCTGCCTAATGGCCTCTCCGAAAGCCGATGGGTTTCCGGCAGAGGGAAGCAGCGTGACTGCGGAGGGCGAGAGGCCCCTCTCTGCCATATGGTTCCCATTAGCAGCCCTGTGAAGTCTATGTTTACTGCTGGGATCACTGCACCGGTGCGAGAGGCTTTTCCCAAAGGCACCGCGCGGCGTGGGGGAGCCGGGCCCCTTCCTCCTCCATCCTGGGAGGACGCGGAGTATCCCCGGCAGCACGGCGAGGCACGGGCAGGGGCTCAACGCCTCGCTCCCCAAGGACATCGTGGGCTGAGCTGGTCACCACGGGGACTGATGTCCCCAAGATTGTGTGCAGGATTAGTGCGGCCTACACAGAGGGGACAGCCGCTGACCCTCCAGCTCCATGGCCAGCCTAAACCCATGGTCTCTCAGCAGGACTGTGTGGGGAGGAGGTGGAGAGGAGCTGGAAAAACCCATCTCCTGAGCCTGGGAATCCCCCCAGCTCACAGCCCAGCTGGCTCCAGGTTCTGCAGCCTTGGGGCCTCACGGCCAACCCACATCATGAAGCCAAGTGTGGTGTAGAGTCGGCATCAAAGGGGCCAGCACTAGAACTGGGCACAGCACCACCAGGGAAGGGGGCACAGTGTCCCCAGTGCTGCTTCAGCTTCTCAAGAGTGGAAAGAGACGGCAAGATGCAGTTTGGAGGGGATGATGGAGCCAGCCTGGTGGCCACGGTTCCAGCTTCAGCCATCAAAGACCCTAATTCAGCTTCAGATCTTGGCTCCTTGTGTGGCTTTGAGCCAACCACTTGACTTGGCCAGTATTTAGGACCCAGGGCAGGTCCCTGCTAGCTTGGTGCAGGATGGAGGGACACCAAGGAAGAGCAGCTGGGCCACTTCTGTGGACATCATGACCCTGTTCATCAGGTTTCTGGAGAGCAGCCCCACCAGAGGGACCTGTCCTTGCCTACAATCCACGGCACGGAACTACCTTCCACCAGCGTGTCCCACTAATCCGCTTTCCATCCACGTCCTGCGCCCGGGCTGCCTCTTGAAAGGCTGCCAGTGGGCAGGAAATCTGCAGCCGAAATGCCGAAGGATGCTGACAAGGAATAGTTGTGGGGAGGAACAGGGCTGCCTTTGTCAGGGCAACAATGGAGGACCCGCAGAAGCCAGGAGGGAGCCCGAGGGAAGCCCCTACCCGCCCACTCAGCTCTCTCATCTTCATCCCTGCTTCACCTGGTCTCCCCTGAGGAGGAGGTGCACGGCCCTGGAAGGACCAGGGCCAAGGGGGACCGGGCTGGTCCCCAGCCCTTGCCTCTCGGCGAGGGGAGAGATGGGGAGGAGGATGCTGCCGGGATTCAGCCTTTTTCCAGAAGTGGAAACTGAAGCAAGGAACAGCCCGTTCCCGGGAGCGTGGCCGTGTTTAATGGCATCCATTAAAAATCATGGTCTAAAGGGAGTCTCTGCTCCCTGGGATCTCCTGCCTTGATAGGAGCTCAGATACAGTAAATGCAGCAGGAATCCTGCTGGGAGGACGAGAAGAGCCTCTTTCCAGAAAGAGACAAATCCTCCTCGGCAGTGCCAGGTGACAGAGCAAGCGGCAATGGCCAAAAATTGCAGTTTGGGAGGTTCGGGGTGGACATTAGGGAAGACTGGAGAAAGACTTGGAAGCTCTGCAGCCTGGTACTAATTAAGGGTGATATAAACCTGGTGCAAACAAGCACGATGGGAAAATAGCAATTCATTCTCCTTCCCCTCCCTTTTCAGTTTTTCCATAGTCTCTTCCATAAATCATGCTACACCTGGAAACCTCACCTCCTGGTTTCCTTCATAACCATATAGCCTTTTATCCTTATACTGGCATTATGTTCCTAGTTCTTCTCACACTGTAATATTTGCCTCTCAGAGGGATTCATAAAGAGTAATTACACTCTTTATCAGTCTTTTTGTAGCAGGAGAACTAAATTCCTTTTAATCTGTTCTCATAAGGTGGGTTTTCCCTGTTCCTACAGCCACCTTGGTGGCCTGCTGCAGGTAGGTCTCCTGGTGGCCTCCTGCACTGAAGGACATCTTAAGCCTTTGTATTCTGGTACGAATATGTCTCTGGCAGCCCTGAAAACATCTGCGCTGATGTGTTCTTCCTCCGTTACCTCTGCCAGAAACCCTAGATGCTCTTTCTGCCTCAGTGCCCACCACTTGCTGAGGTCCCTCCAGGTTACAGCAGTTTCATGCTGCAGCTCCCCAGGTGCCTGCTCCGACACGACTCTTCTCCAGCCATTTCTAGGACTCCAGTCTCATCCTCCTGGCTGCTGATCTGGGTTTCCTCACCGTGGGCAGATCTCCTGACTTCTAAAGGAACTGTTTACAAGTTCAGTCCCTAGATCTCTCCTTGTGGAAGGATCCAAGTGTCCTCCTTCCATTTTGCTGTCCCTTCCTTATCCTCTTTCCTGTCTCCACCTAAAATAATTGTTTCCCTGGGGCATTGTATCAAGCGCTTTCCTTAAATCCAGATTCACGAGGCCCTGTTGTTTCAGAAGTCAGTTATCATATCCAAGGAAGATATTGAGCCAACTTGACGTGATCTGTCTTAAAACCACGCTGCATTTTACTCTGCTTCCCCACGTCTCTGATTACTCTTCCAAAACCTATTCTAGAAACTCACCTTTTATTGTACTTCAATTAACAGACCTGTAATTGCCTATAATTTCCTCTCTCCCCAAACACAACCTGTAAATGTTATGTTGGCTGATCTCTTCTGGAGGACTATCAGCTGTAAAACACCAGACTTTGGACTGACGTTTCCTATGTGGTTTAGCCCATCCCTTGTGTTCCGAGAGAGCCCCTCCCGAGAGCTTCTGCTGTTTCACCATCTGCAGATGCAATGAGAGCGGGTCCTGTTCCAGGCACCCCAAAACACAGCACAAAACACAGCACAACCACTTCTCGTGGTCCCTGACCCCCGTGAGAGCTGCTGTGTCCACTGTCCGAACGCAGATTGTGTCCAAAAAGACCCACCAAAATCACGTTCATGGGTTAAATCTCTCAAAAAATCATACTTTTTGAGCTGCCCTGTCTATTTTCAGTCTTCACCTCCATCATCCCTTGTAGGATCCAAGACGCCATACCACCCAGTGTAGGGTTGGATGCTCTGCAAGGCCATGGGATTTCAGTGGGATAAGGAGAGCACTGGGAAAAGCGAGCCCTGGAGAGGCACATCAGGGGCTGCTGGGGCTCCTTGTGTCTGAAAACCCTGGAGTGACCATATGGAGAGGGTTCCGGGCACACCAGAGGGGTGAGAAATATATCTAAAGTGTGCTTAATATTGATTGCAATAATCTCTTCCCCCAGATTTAATGTTTTCCATCCCGGAGATTTTGCTAACAGCTAGGTAAGCTCTGCAACACCCCCAGATGGCAGATAAAAATGAATTAACCGGAAAGCGAAAGGCAGACACCTCTGGGGGAACGTGGCAGCTGCCTGACAATGGACAACAACCCTGCAAAAGCTGAGGAGGGACAAAAAGGACAAGAGAAACTCCATCGCCATGAAGGACCGGAGGGGGTAGTTGTAGGTTCACAGGACTGACCGGCTGAAGGAAACCAGAAGAGGAACTCCCTTCCCTAATGAGAGGTCTCGTGGGATTTGTGTTGACCAAAAAAGGTCAGGAACCCAGTTTTGAGCTGTGTGAAAAAAAGAAGATGCATCCAGTCGCTTTGCAAAGCCCAAGGGGCTGGTTCTGACAGACCCTCACTCCTTCACTGGGAATTTGCTTCTCGCAGGGCTCCCATTTAAAAAAGGCTGTTACCGGTGGGGCCGTTTGGGACTAGGCTTGGTTGATTGCCCCACAATTATTTTGTAATCTACGTTAATAATGCTGCAGATGTGCTGCTCCTGGCCTTAAATACACAACAGCTCAGCTGAGGCACCAGATGTCTTCCCTGCGAGAGCCCTCACACGATGT